ATTTATTGAATATTCAGCAAACTAAGACCCTTGCCTACACCTAGACTCTTTTTGGTATGGAATTTTTGGGTTCAAAAAATTTTTGATTGAAAATCCCCGTCAGCCTACTTCCAAGCAGTTCTCAGACGAAATACCCATCAACGGTCCTGCTCGAAAGGAGTTGCTACTGGCAGTTAGTACGGTCTGCCCTACCACTTACAAAAACTCTGAACACGGAATGCGGTTGACAGAGTGTTTTTGGTAAGCCATCCGAATCCTTTTGTGTCAGCAAAAAAACCGATTTTATCAAATACACTGAAATTGAAGAATAAGTGAAGCTTTTCGAAAATTAACAAAACCTATTTTCTGAAACAGGAAACAAATCAAACTTTTTAGTGGTACCTTGCAGTGCAGGTAAAAATCTTCCAGTATTTTCAGTATTTCCCAAATTTTGGAAGAAACATGCAAAATGGTTAGGAAACCGATTGGAATGAAAAAAATTTTTTTTGATCAGTTTCTTTTATTACGATAAAATTCCATTCCCACCTGCCTCCTTCACCTTCTAATTCTGGAGACGGTATTAGAAAACACCAGCGAAGAGTTCAGCCCGTTTTGTGCATGTTGTGGAAAGCAAAGAAATTTTTATGGTTGGAGTGTTACGAAGTGCAAAATCTTTTTCTGGCACTGATAGTTTCACCAGACAGCAACTCAAAATGAAATTGTCAGTAATGATACCGTGTTTTTCCTCTTTCCGTTTTTCATCATCGTCGTGCTTTAGCTTCACATCTCCTGAAAAAAGAGCTTTTTTGTGAAAATTATCAAGTCTGTAAATTGCAACTTTGTTCTGATTATCGCTTAAATGCTACACTGTTATCAATAACAGTCTGTGCGCGCTTTTATCAAGCTGATTGTATTTGTTAATGTTATTACAGCAGCTCGTGCCTTATGATGAAGTTGAATTTTCTTCATTCAAAAAATTGGTAGTGTTTTTGAATAACTTTTTTCATAACTTTAGTGTTTCTGTTGTTAAGACGTAGCTTTGGCTTTTTGATCGTTATTTTGTCAAAAAAGATGATTTTCTATACAAAAATCTTTTTGAAAAAAACTTTGAAATCCGCCCTCTCTCTGTCGATTTTGTGTATTAGTGGATTTCAAAGTTTCAAAAAATTTGAAACTGAAAACCACTAACACACAAAATTTTCTTCCGTTCAAAGATTTCGCTTCCTATCTCCTACGAAACCTCATTTCGCAAAAACATGGACTAGTAGGGAATGAAGCAGCCTTGTCTTCCCCTATCCTCGTCTTCATTATTTCCGAAACATTTTTGTTGAAACTATGTATTTAATTGTGCGTTGCATCCATTTACAAAAACACTGTTGTTTTTAGATTTCACCACAAGAAAACAATTTTCGCCGACGTTTGTCAGCTTTCCTAATAATATTCGCACTACCATCCATTGATCACTAACAGCGCCCCAAAATGATTGCTTGTACGAACTGTTTAGGCTTTTTTTTTCCAACCAGCCCGACCTGTAGGTGTGAGAAACGTTCTATTTTACATAGCAAGAAACCGGCCTGTGGGCCCTTCTTATTTTTTAACCGCAAATTACTGCGTATGAGGCTGCTATCGTTTTTACCTGAAGCTTCGGCTTCCTTTTCATTGCTGTCTGTATGTGATTTTCCCTTCTTCCGACTACTTTTACTGCGGCCGCCATTTACTTCACATAACAGTAAAGTGATAAGCAAAAATAAAACTATTATTTCACGGATCATCATTCTGGAACGAAATTTTCTCATCATTGCTTCACCAAGTGCATCTATGACCAAACTGGAAATTAAAACATCCTTTCATCTTTTCTTTCCTAAAAAAATGCATCTGCTGCCTGTTTGCTCGCAATTTTGCAAAAACCAGCCAGTGCCTGACACTATGTTCTCGTTCTACGGATTAACTAATTAAAACGGCTTAACTAATTAACTAATTAAGATGCAGATCTGATCAACATAACGATTGAAATACCAATACAAATCCTTTACTAAAGTCAATTATAGAAAGACCAATTTGTCTAGCAGTGGCTTCAGGGCAACGAATAAAGCGTAACAGCCAATGTCCCAGATCAAGTAATCCACAGGTTATCTCAATACAAGCGAATTTATGCAGGCCAGGGGGTAAAATTCCTCTCCACATTCACTCCCTATGAGAAACAGAGGCACTGGAAATTAGCCCAGTGACCACCTGGCTTGTTTACAAGCAATCTGATGGTGGTTTTAACTTTCTGGTATGTGGTTTACTGTCATTTGTGATAAGAATGAACGAATTACAAAGGTTGCCGCGCTGGCGAAGTTGAACCTATGAACTTCAGTGCGAGAACAGCAATATTTTTCAGTGCGCGATGCTCTACAGCAATCCGGAAAAAAAGAAGAGTGATGTTTAAAATGGAACGAAAAATCTCCTGGCAACGTTTTTTGGACAGGCTCTGTGTTTTTCAAGCAAAAAGCAATTGTGCAGCTATCATGATCATGCCATCAATAATAATGTTAGATAATATGCTTGAGTAAACAGTATATAAGCTCAAGAGCCAACAAACAATCTTAGAGATTGCATCATCAAGATGCTCGTGTCTGGGGAACAGCCAATCCGGAATAAAAAAACATTCAAATCCATTATTCAGTATTTCTTTGAATTAGAACTCCGGCTAGGAACGCCCTGGTTTGCTGGTGCGATCATGCGTTTTTACAGTAAACTTGAAGCAATCGGGTCGTTAACTACATCCGGACAATTAACTTGTAGAACTGCAGTTTTTTGGACAAAGGCCATGCCACATGCTGAGGACACCCTCTTTGCAGCAGTTTGCATGAAAGGCGATCAGGTTCGCAACTGTCTACAAATCTACGTTTTACGACTGACTTCAAAGATAGGAAGACTGAGCCAAACAGAGGGATTTTCACTCATTTCCAAACACTCATTTTCACGGACAATATTGTGTTTATCACGGAAAACCCACAAATGTTACGAATTTTTTAAATAGCTTGCAACCAGTGCGAAGGAAATTGAAACTCCAGATCCAAGGAGAAAGTTGCTGTATCCTAATGTACCGTAAGAACGACGCACAGTAAACTGTCAGCATGTTGTAGCATATCTCTGAAGTAATGTGGTTCCAATCCACTGTGAGCGATATTATCAAGGTAAAGTGCGCCTTGAAAAAGAACTGGACCAATTATGCGGCAGGAATGAAAAATAGCAAATAGAAAAATTGGATTATTACATGGTACCCGGACAATGTTAAAAGAACACATGGAAGGGCCAGTCCGCTTGAATAGCAGCGTGCAGTTATGCTGATAAAAGAGACCTGAAATAGAGAGGATGGAAATGCTGTCAGCAGCATCATCGGCGAGAAATGCTGTGTACTGCAGTAAAAAAAAAGATCAAAACAACAAAGTAAAGCATCTGTAAGATCCCAAGAATAAACCATACAAATTAAAAAATCTGGGCATTTTTTGTAAATTTTGATGAGGTTGATGTGACGTTAACGGCCTTTTCAGTAATCTAGGAGGTCAGAGAAAACTCTGTTTGTTTTCCGACAATTTTTCGTTAGAAATGAGGGCTGGAACTTTGTGAGTTGTAAAGAGCAAGCAAAACGAGAAGAATCAAAATTGCAGGGATGTTTATTTCGTGCTTTAAATAGATGATTTCAAAAATGTTGAATGCAGTGGGTAATTAAAAACAGGTAGGAACCGATTCTCCTGACAGTGAAGAAGGGCCGGTCGAGAGCGTTGTATGTGACAGGCCTCCGTGCACTGGCTTCACAACAATCCTCATTTTACAGAGTTTAAAAAAAAAAAAACTCTGAAATGAGGGACACACACAGGATGCACATCGGCCAGGCATTTCGTTAAGCAATAAAAATAACTGTCCAAGCTGCCAGAAGCCGCCAAACAACTGCTCGGTGATAATAAATTGCTGGGAGCTCATCGCTGCCTCTTGCCACTGCTAATGATGTTTGGAAGCTGCCGCAGCTCCAGAGTATGAGTCATCCGGTTTTTCGTTTCAGTCGCACTCGAGAAGCCGAAAAAATTCAAATTTCAAACGGAAAAAACTTCATCTAATGCAGTTTTTATGCGTTTTTTGCGGCTATGCAATGCAGAAAACGCATATTGACGAGAGGCTGTGTGTGTGTCTGTGCCTGTGTGTGTGTGCGCGCGCGTTGTACCTTTGTACCTATTTTTCATCTCGAGACCTACAAAAGCTATAGGGCTGAAACTTTGGGACCTTAACCCATATGCATGTACGGGCTCCCACCCCGAAAATGGGCGGTTTTGCCCGCGTGGTACCCACGTACGGGCCAGTGGAAGTCTTTTGCGGATAAGTCGCTAACCCGCGAATCAGAGAAGCTAGAAAACTGAAATTTTTAGGGACGTTCCTGCCCATGTATGTCTCAATGAGCTTAAACCCGCCGGCTAGAATAACTCGGTTTGGCTCGGCTGATGATCTATGGTGCTTTAGCCTTCCAGCGGTTCGCTCTACCATCCCTGCCAACACTATTCCGCGGCGCCGCCCGCTGGAGCTTTGCCAGAAGTAGTGGGTAGCGCTGCCCCGCGTCTGGCGGATGAATTACGTGGCTTGGGGGTGATGGGTGGGAGGACTGGACGTGGTTGGGAGGTGTTGGTTGGTAATTGCCTAGATACAGCTCAGATGGTGCGATTGAGGCCAGGACAGTGGGGAGGAATGAAGTTGCTGATTAGGAGTTCAGAATGATAAACGGTGACAGTGGTTGGAAGTGATGGGTGCCCCGATTTGGCTCTGGAGACAAGGGTTGCGGAGAAGATACAGGAGGGAAAGAAGGGTGCTAGTCAAAAGTTCGAAGCAAGAACTGCAGGTAGCAGTAAAGAGGAAAATAAACCAACACGGCACTACAAGGAAAAGTAAATTAAAACAAACTTGAATTTGTGAATAAAAGGAATTCATTTACTGAAACTTATGCTTACGTGCAGCTGAGGGGCAAATAAGTTCGACAGGATTTACTGAAGGTTATGCTTGGGTTAAGCTAGAGGCAAATAATTTCGGCAGGATTTACTGAAGCTTATGGTTAGGTGAAACTGAGGGCAAATAAGTCCAGTTCGATTACACAACACTGTTGCCTCTTGCAGCTTGCAACTGTGCACAATCGTTATACCTTTGTTTTTTTGCCTTCAAAATCTCACAGAAGCAAAGGCTGACTTTATCCCGAGGCATCCATTCTACCCTGTTTTTGCTCACTTCATGAAACTTATTCGCGCTCAGCTTTACCTAAGCATCAGTTTCATAAATAGGGCTTTTTGTGGAACAACTTTCCCTAAGCATC